TTAAAAAAATCAATTTATAAATTTATATTTTCAAACACAAATTGTTTTTTTAATATATATAAGCTAATAAAATCAACAAAAACCAAACACACCCTTTAATCACCCTTTTACCATTGATCTACCAATAGTGCTCTTTCTTGACACTTTCAACTCATAATCTCAATTTTTTGTAAGTTGAAACATCCCTAATTTCAAGACTCAACAACCAAATAAATCATTTTGAATCTTAAACACATTACTCTTTCATTTATACTATTAACAAGCTGATTATCGCTCGTGTTTGAATCTACATATGAAGTGATTGGGAAATCTAACATTGAGTTTGGATTGGAAATTTTGGAAAGAAAGGGAGGGGAATGAAGGTGAGATGACTCTTTTATCTTGTTTGGATTAATTTTTTAATGGCAGAGAATGGGATGGAGCTCCTCCACTCTTGTAGTTTTTATCCCTCTAACTATTATTGATTAATCATAATAATAAAAATATTGTTTATTAATTGATTTTTTACAAAATTAAGAGAAAAACCATGCTAAACCAAAATTATGTTATTTCAATAAGTAGTGGACTCAAATAGTTTTCGTTCTTATTTTAAAAATAATTTTTTTAAATATTTTTTAATGAGATTTAAATGAAACAAATTTATTTTAAAGTTTTTTTAATAATTTTTTTAGAGTTTCAATTAATAAACACTTTTCTCAAAAAAAAAAAAGAAAAATTATTTTTTAGTGGTTTGATTAAAATTTCATTTTGAATTAAGTGGAAATCTAATTTTATATCTTACATAATACTAATCAAATTTTTCATAAGTGTACCATTTTTAAAAAATCTATAGTACCCTTTACACAAATATCTGCTTAAATTTAAATTCTTATTAATAAAAAAAAACCCTATTCTAAAGTAGACTATTTCACTTCTCATAACCACCATCACCCTCCTCCCCATATTTCATTGAGAGAAGGATTCAAGTACAAATTATATATTTTGTTGATTTGTGCGTTGCAACTATGAATTGAAAATATACACATCTTTGATTTTTTTTTCTTCAAAAAAAAAAATTTTTTTTTCGGTTAAGCTTTGATTAGAATAATAGCTATTATTTTTTTTCATGAATGCAAAGGGATGGATGCACCAAAATCAATTTTTTGCTACTATCATTTTGACCACGAGAAACCCTTCAAGGGATGTGCCATCTATGTACAAACTGGACGACAACCAGATCAGAATCCCATAGAAACTGTTAAAATAAGGTTTCTTTAATTAATAAAAATTTAGGTTTAGACGTATATTTGCGTAAAGGATAATATAT